TGTATACTTTACATTTAGAAGACAAACTGTTGTATACTTTACATTTACTTGTAGATGACTTGTTCAAAAGCTGCAGGTTAAAGGTGACATGGCCAACAAGGACATTTAGAATAAAATAAGATATTTGGCGCCACTCAGTGTCTGAAAATAGAAATTGTATCTTTGTGCCTAAAAGGGCCGAAATTTGTGCATCAAATTTATTGAAAGTCGTTATTTTGTGTATTTTAAACAAATCTTTGCCTCCTGGAATGACAGTGTTCTAGTAAAATATTATTTTCAATTACCTGTACACATAATTAAACACTAATTGTAACAAAAAAGCTTATTTTTGTTTAAGACTGCAAGCATATTGCAAATAAAGATTTTTTTAGTTCTTTTGCTGCTGTAATTTCCTGCATGTCAGTGAACAACAGAGGAAACCCCAATAATGGTCAGTCAGGTCATCTGGACAATTAGTTTTTAATGAAAAGACCTTTCGCCCTATCCAGAGGGCTTCATCAGTCTGAGGAGATGATGCCCTCTGGATAGGGAGAAACGTCTTTCCATAAAAATGAACTGTCCAGATGACCTGACTGACCATTACTGGATTTTGTACCTGGATGATTGAGCATGAACTTTGATGTCTTGAACAGAGGAAAACATCACTCATCACCCAAGTTCTCAAATGTCCTGCTTCTGCTCAATAATCCAGGAAGCTACAGGTCCTCTGGACGGACTCTTCTTGTTGAAACGTTTAGTCTTTTATCCAGAAGGCTTCTTCAGTCTGAGGAAGTTCAGTTCCGTCCCTCAGACTGTTGAAAGGCCCTCGGTCAAATGAGCTGAAACTTTTGACACATTAATTGCTTAAATAGCTCAAAGATGAAGTAGTTCGTTAAAAAAAACCGTACAAAAATAAAAATGGGGAAAAGAAACTGATTGTCTGGCACAACAAAACATTTTTCTGTGAAGTTTTTACTCGAAGGCGTTTAACGAGCCTGGCAGACAAAGCGCAGGGCTAACGGAAACAGTATAGATTTCCCATGATTCCTTGCGCGAAGAATAGCTCCTGTTTGTTCATAGTAAGCTCCATAAGCCACCGGATGTGAAAATAGCACTTTTTAATCACAGCGTCCTCAAGTCGAGAGTATTTAATGGATTGTACTGTTCGTAGATAAAGAGCAGCGTTGTTGGAGGCTGTTGAATCGTCTCTACACCGAACTATAGGTGGGTAAAGCCGAGCACACTGCCGCAGTTAGCTGCTAGGAGCTAATTATTTAGCTCGTTAGTGTCCCACCAGCAGGACAGGAGCTACTATATCATGCTGTCCCTGTAACCAGAACTATGTCTTCAACCTCCGAGGACATCCAATGTCCCCTCGAGTCATGGTTTCCATCCTTGTTCCTTGTAGGTTGCCTTCAGGATGTCCTACTCTCCTCCGATGACCCGGCCGCAGATCGGGATCCCCCTGCCCCCCGGGATCCCCCCTCCACAGTACGCAGGCTTTGCACCTCCAGTCCCGCCAGGTACCGACCCACCTCACCTGGATCAGCTGTGTGTGGACAGCAGCCCGGGTTCAGGGCACATAACACCCTCTGTTAGCAAAATATCCCATGAAACCACTGCACATGGTGTACTGGATGCACAACAACTCATTAAGTCAACCAGTTCAAGCAACTGGTCAGCAAGCTGACCTTTAAAACACTGGATTGATTAAAATGCAGGCAAATCTGCAGAAATGTACCTCAAACTGGACCCTCGGCACTTATTTTGAGCCCTAACAGATCCAGCAAGGCTTTCATTTAATTCCCGTTAGCAAAATATCTCATGAATGAAACTATAAGGAAATTATCACAAGACATACTGGTATATCTACAGCAGAAGATAAAACAGCCACTGTAGGTGTGGTAGTAGCTGAGAGTAATAGTTTAACACAGACATGAGAGATCTTCACATCGTACACAAACAACAAGTAGAAGAAAGTGTTGGTGAAGATTCTCAGTCATCCACGACTTGGTTAATCAGTCCTCGCTGCACTGGACTGCAGACACCACACCCCTCTGTGTTTGGGTGTTTGTCCTTAAGGTGGATCAGACTATGTCTTTGAGTCCTGTTGGGTTTGAAATGTACTGGGAATTAATTGTACTTAATTAAGAAATTTGGTCAAATACACAATTTTCCCCATTTTGTCACATTTTCTTTTGAACTTGGTGTAAAGTGAAACCAGAAGTGACATGATGGGGGAACTTAAAAAAAGAGCTTCATCTCTCCCATATAGTGACTTAAGATAATTAAAATAAATGTCATTTGTACAGAGATTGAGCTAAAAGATTCTGTGGTAGTAGCTGAAGGTCATCCTCAACACAGAGTCCGAGTGTGGTTTCTCGTCATGAAATCTTGATCGGAATGGGGGCGGGTGATATGCATTCCTTTATGTTTTAAATGTTTGTTTTTGTCTGCAGGGACTCCCATGCTCCAGGTTCACATGGGTATGGTGTCGCCGGCACCCACGGTGAGAGTAGTTTCTGGCCTCGTTGTCAGAAACAACATGAGCTTTAAACATAAACATCCTAAATAATGAAAACTTCAAACATGCTTCGCTGTCGCAGGTTCTGATCCCGACCACAGTTGCCCTGGTGCAGAATCCTGTAAGTATAAAGAGAGAACCCAGTCTCAGAAGCAGGGATCCAGAGGGCAGCGGGCCCACCACCACTGTGTTTGTGGGGAACATCTCTGAAAAGGCGTCAGACATGTTGGTCAGACAGCTTTTAGCGGTGAGTTTTCTCAAATGACGGTTGAAGGGCTGCCAGCATGTTTTAATTTAATTCATCTGAATGACCCATTTTCCTTCAAAAATCTAAATCCCGAATTTCTGTTTGATTTTTTTAGTCCAAACAAACTTAACTCAAAGAATTGTAAATTAAAGTACAAAATACTTGTTTCAAATGAGTTGTTTTGTATTTATTCCAAATAAGAGTGAATATTCAGCATGTTGTGAGGAAGAACTGCTGCAAGCTGTGGGCGGTAATCAAGTCGAGCTTTTACCTTCACAATAAGGAGAAAACTGTTTCAAATAACCAAGATAGAACGTAGTCAACAACAAAAATACTGTCATTGCATATTTTTATAGTCGATGCATCAAATACAGAGCTGGTCTTAGATGGTCCGTGTCGGAACGATACAAAAAATGTTTTGATTCTGCAATGCTCAGCTGGAACATCTGGACAGGATGGTTTCTTGTTTGCTAAGAAAGCACACGGTCTCCTCTAACAAAGAATAACGTGAGGAAAAGACCTCCAGAGGACTAGAAGGAGATGGATACAATCTAAAACAGAGACTTTCAAAATGTGTGAGCATTTCACTGGAAACAGAAAAAAGTCTTAACCAGGTGGAGTCATGTCCTCTGGACGGATTCTTCTTCTTGAAACATTTTTATCCAAAATACTTCTTCAGTCTGAGGAGCTGCAATGAACTCAGTCTTATAAATATCACCTTCTCAAAGTGGATCAACCAGTTTGTTGTTGACATCCAGAACTAGCTGTTCACGTGATAAGGGAGGACCATCAGCCTAACAATTGATTGTTAGTCCCCTGATGGCCACTTGCTATTCACAGAGGGCTGAGTGATGCTAGCTAACAGTTGGACACGGGAGGCCTCTGTTTAATAACTAACATGGGCTCAGATTGTGGTCTAGAAGTTTCTTCAGTGTAAAATGCAGCAGAGAGACAACATGTCTGACTTCATGAAGCTCATTTAGCAGCTTCAAAACCTTCTAGAGGTTCAGATCTTCCTGCTGACAGGAAATGGACTGATGTACCCAGGGCAGAGTAGGGTGGCATGAAGACAAACGCTGAAACATTTAAAATTAAAATAAAATGTTAGCAAATTAACATACCGGTAATCGACTTTGTTGATTATGGCAACTTTTTACGACAGCCCTATAAACCAGTTGAGTAATGGTCTAAAATTGCTCTACGTGAAGACAAAGTTTAACAGATTAATGTATGTAATGGTAAATATGAATAAAACAAATAGTATTTTAAACATTGTCACTAAGGTGAAACCCTGCTTGAGTTCAGCAGTAATCCAGTTTTAGAGGAGATCTGTGTTTGAACCTGTATGCTTCACACAGGTTAGTCGTTATATTTATTATCGGCGTAGATTTTGTGTCTTTATTCTGATTTTACTCCATTTGGTATGTTGCTTTGTGCGTTGCCTGTTTTCTGTTTGTACGGCACTTTGGTTGGCCTTGTCGCTGTTTTAAGTGCTCTATAAATAAAATGGTATGGTATGGAGAACACTTCAGATGGTCCCTCCTGACTCTTGGACATCAGAATACAAATCTACATGTACAGACAAGGCTGTGCAAGATAAATACAGAAGATCATGCGTGTTTAAATTCAATTCAGTTTATTTATATAGTGCCAAGTCACAACAGACGTCCTATCAGGGCACTGTTTACAGAAGCTTCATTACCGGTATATTCATTTTTCTCTTGCTTCCTTGACCTTACAGAAATGTGGTATTGTTCTGAGCTGGAAAAGGGTTCAAGGTGCCTCTGGGAAACTTCAAGGTAAAAGTTTAACATAATTTTATTTCTTTGTACCTTCAACACTGCACTATCCAAAGACCTAAGTCAGGATCTCAGTGCGCTGTGTCTGTTGGAGACCAGCTGGAAGAGAGTCGGACATGAGTTGGAAGAAAGTTGGAGACCAGCTGGAAGAGAGTTGGAGATTAGTTGGAAGAGAGTTGGAGATTACGGTAGTTGGA